AAATCGTAGTATAGCGACGTATGAAAGCCAATATTGAAGAGAACTACGCAGTACTCAGCCAATGCGAACATCGTATAGACGCCAGGCTCACAGTAAGTGTTGTGTCTCCAGTACAGATACATTGCCATTACCATAGAGATAATTGAGCCAGAGCACGCCAAAATTTTGTACTCGTATGATCGCTCACCCTAGAAATATTGAAAAATTATCACATCCCGTAAAAGTTCATAGTTCTTAACTCGGTATTATTGACGATTAACAAGAAAGACACAATGGCCTTACCAGATTTGTCGTTCTCCTGCGTCCTGAATAATGAAATAACCACGTACTTAGTAACATGTACAATGTGGCTGAAGCGGCAAATCCAATAAAGCAAAACTTGTGGAGTTCTATAAATGTTCTTGAGAGAAATATTATTGAAAAATTACGGCTGCAATAAAATACCATGATTTTCTACAGAAGAAATTGCAGTTAAGCCGAGTAGAAACAAAATCTCCATGACGTTCAGTGCACATGCGACATGACATAAAAGTCGAAACATACGAGCTCCAGTGAGAGGCCTCAATGGAGAGTACAGGAGCAAGTTCCTTAAAAAAGAAGCAAAAACATAGAAGATACAGAGCATTTCAGGGACAACAACATAGAATGGCCAACTTTCGATCAGAAATCAAAAACAGCAGTCTTCCTACCTCAAGCTATCGCGCAATCTGCGCATTCTGTGGTTTCGCATCACCTAGACACGAGGCTACGACCAATGTACACCGTCCGTTGTGCAAAAATCAATGGAAGAGGTCGTATTCCGGAATGGGGGAGGGGGAGGAGAGGAGAAGGAGACGTAAGGAACAGCCACAGATTTTGAAAACCCTTGAGGCCTGGACTGCCAACCAAGTACATGGCGCATCTCAGAAAAGGAGTTCCCACTATTTCAGTGAACACGAGCAAACGGATCTTACCAGAAAAATTCCCATGCCTTCAGACTGATTTAAAGTCGAAGAAAGTGCAGCGAATTCGACGTACTGACTTCTAGAGGTCAAATATAAACTCTGGCAGAAGAAAGGTTTTCATTTCAAAGCTTCGAGGAGACATCCACATGTTTTCAAGCATTAATCGTACAAATGTCAGTGGTATTTTGAGTTCTTCAATTATACCAAAATTGGAGAAACCTATGAGCGTTTAAACGTTAATAACTCGCGCAAAGAATGGCTTTTGAAAGCTCTTCGAAAGCTCTAATCTGGAATCTCGTTATTTCTCTTCTAATTTACAGATCTGCATTACTTGATTATGAGGAAGGATAAAATAAAAGGATAAAGCATTTGCCGTTGATCAATCCCTTTTGGGATGCGGCACGCATTCTACTTCCATTTGTACATTCGCAGTGGCATTTGAATGCGATGTGGCCTATACAATGACTTGCGGGGCCAGCCGATGTACAAGTCAGTGTTTTTATCCTCCCAGACAAGTCTGGTACCAATTAACCGACCCCGGAGGGATGGAAGGCTTGGTTGGCCCGGGCGACTCACGACCCAGGATTTGATCCCGGACCGCTCGCGTGGTGAGCGCGCCACTTGTCACTACACCACTTCCGCCCTTATGAACATACACAATTTAATAACTCACGCGTTCTTAAAATAGGACTACGAACGCTACAAAACGGAAAACGGGAATACTTTTAAAAAATAATCTTACAGAGGTTTCAAAATTTTTCAGAAGCTTCAGTGCCTTTTCAAGAGCACCAATCCTTAAACTCTATTTAGCTTTAGACATCTTCAAAAAGTTGATTATGAAGGAAGGTATGAACGCTTGAATGTTTAAAATTCGCAGGCGCACAAAAAAACGGATCAATGGGACGATATCTTGAGGAAGAACATTCACCAATAAATACTTTTTGGAGAGAAACCCATTTGAATTCCCAAAATTTTTATCTGGTCGCATAAGAACGCAACTAAAGAAGATATAACCTTTCAAATAAAAAGATTCGTAAATTCTTCAAGGTTAAGTTTTTTCCTTTCATAAAAAGGAGGGCGTTTCTGAAAATAAAGTTCTCTGCGATTGCAAGCATAGCTAAGTCTAAGCAAAGAGCTATCTTTTTGATAGGTGAAATTTTATGTCATGTCAATGCCCGTCCTCTGAGCGAGGCAATGCGCGCGACGCAACATCCCACTGCCCACCACTTCTTTTCATGATAATGGCGGCCTATTCATCGATGGTGGGCATGAAAACGTATAACATTTTGAAAGATCGATATAACGGGTCGTACCAATATCCCGGAAGGACGGGGGAGGGTAAAAACTTTACAATCAACACAACGGACGGTTTACCCTGCAGGTGATTGAACCCCATTCGTCATTTTATGACCACTTTCATCACTCAGTATCATTTTTGAACTAATTCTGAACCGACATAAGTACTAGAGAATATAACTCATTCATAACACGAAAAACAAAACACTGATAAAGCGAGTCGTCCAAAAAATCAATAAAAAATAACTTCACAGAAAAAAATGAGAAAGGAGACGCGGGGGCCATGTGCCGCATAGATCGCGAGCGCGCAGAATGTGTGGGAAGTGGGGAATGTGGGAAGTTGCCTTAGGGAGAAAAGTGCAGACTTCGCGATGCGATCGCGCAGTCTGACATTTATATGAGGGCGTGATAGCCGATTTTATACGTAAAAGTAGCGCATTCCACGATTGTGTGAGGTATAAATTCTGCACGATGAAGAACACACGTCATGATAAGTAAAATAAACCTGGAGACCAAACTCACCTAACTGCGATAGCAACAAGCAAGCGGGGACCACTGTGCACAGCAATGAGCATTCGCCAAATGTACATCTCCGGAGCGAAAGTTGAGACAGCAGC